GCCTGCTTATTCCAGAACAGATTAAAACTCCTAGTTCCTATGTGCAAGTCCCTAGCATGAAGCTGAGAGGGAGTGCATTATTCACAGACCACGAGCCTGTGGGCTTTCTGCCCACTTTCTAGTATAGATGAGCACAAGGAACACACCAATGGGAATGTCAACCCAAGAAGCTAATGCTCAGGGACTTATTTCACTTCTTGTTTTTTATTTCCCACTGGTTTGAACTATTAATCAGTCTCCCAAGAACTGGAATTACAGACCTGTGTCATCATTAAGTCTTTTAATGCTCTGTTGCTGTTACTATGATGAATCCTGGTTCTACTGCCATGGCTGTGATGAGCTATTTTAGCCTGTGTGTGTTTTTTTTCTGGTCCTTGGGCTTGAACTCTTGGCCTGGGATCTATTCCTGACCTTCTTTTGCTCAAAGCTAGCTCTTTACCCCTTGAGCCACAGCCTCACTTATGGCCTTTGCGGAGTAGTTTATTGGAGATAAGAATCTCATGGACTTATCTGCCCCAGCTGGTTTTGAGTGATCCTCAGATCTCAGCCTCCTGAGTAGCTAGGATTACAGGGGTGAGCCACCAACACCTGGTTTTGTTTTAGCCATTTTTTTTTTTTTTTGGTTGGTCATGGGGCTTGAACTGTTTTAGCCATTTTTAACAACTGTAGTTCTCCCAAAGACATTAGCTGTTTGCTCATTTGGACTTTGTGGCTTAAAAAAAGTCTCGGAGGTTTTCCTTGGTCTCTTGCTCTTTGTAGTTTCTTTTCATTCTATGTGAACACTTAAGTGACTGTTTCCAAAGAGAAGAGTGACGACCCTGCCTCGTGTAGGACATGGGCGCACGCGACCCAGTTGAGCTTCCTCTGGAAGTGCTGCACTTGTCTGCAGCGACCTCCATGAAGTCAGGGAATGGGCAGTGTTCTGTCTGTCTTTGCAGAGCTCTCTATAGACACAGCATGCTGCCTGTCAGGGTTAGGGAGGAGCTAGCTAGCCCTTTGTATCCTGAAAAGCAATTTCTCAAGTGCATGTTGAGTCTCTTTGAGGCCAGGCAAAGAGAATCTCTTCCTGTCAGGTGAGCAGAAGGGATCTGGGAAAAGAATCCTAAAAGTCTGATTGAATTGTTACTTTCAGTCTTTCCTGTTTTCCTGACCTGCCCACACATGATTTTTACTATATAGGTACTGTTGAGAATCTCCTTTTTTTAATGTTAAACTCTTTATAACTTTATTTAATGACCGGGTAAAACCCAAAAGATGGAGTCTGTGAATATTTTTGCTGGGTTGGCCTATGGCCATGATCCTTCTGATCTCAGCCTCCCATGTAGCTAGGTGACACATACTACCATACTCATCTGTTGGTTGAGAATGAGTTTTGTGAACCTTATGACTTGGCTGACTTTGAACTATGATCCCCTTGACCTCAGCCTCCTGAGCAGCTAGGAGTATAGACAGGAGCCAGCACACCTATGTCCAATAAATCAGTCTTGAAACTTGCTGACTCACAAATAGTTTCTTCATACCAACTACAGCTAATTCCCACCCCAGACCTGGGAAGAACAATGGTTTTCTTTCGGTCTCTATTAATTTGCCTTTTCCAGGTTTTTGATATGTAAATATCAAGTATTACATGCAATCTTTTCCATTTGTCTTCCTTCAGATTGCATGCTTTGAGTTCCTGTATATTGCCACCTGTATCAATAGTTTAGTACTGTGTATGGATGAATAGTATTCTATGGTATGGTTATTCCATGTTTTCTTTATCCATTCAGCAGGTAGTAGACATCTGAATTGTTTCTGGTTTTGTTATCAGGAATAATGTTGCTCTGAATACCTGTATACATCTATTGTACAGATATTTTATTTCTCTTAGATTTCTAGAAGTGAAAATGCTTGTTTGAACATATTAAGTTCATGTTTATTTAAGAAACTACCAGTTTCCCAAAGTGAAGTACTGTTTTCCATTCTCAGAAGTAATACAGGAGGATTCTAGTTTCTCTAGTGCTTGGTATTTCTGTCTTCATTATAGCTTTTGAGTGGGGCTGTGTTTATTAATTACAGTGGTATAATGAATATTACCAACATTTAGGTTTAAAAATCAAGCATTTGTCAAACAATTTATTTCTCTGTCTCTCTGTCTCTCTCTCTCTCTTTGGCCAATCTTGGGGCTTGAACTCAGGGTCTAGGCACTGTCCCTGAACTTCTTTTGCTCAAGGCTAGCACTCTACTACTTGAGCCACAACACCACTTCTGCCTTTTTGTTTCTATGTGATACTTAGGAATCAAACCCAGGGCTTCATGCATGCTAAGTAAGCACTCTATCACTAAGCCACATTCCCATCCCTCAAACAATTTCTGTAATTGAGGAATGCAGGTGCGGTTAGCCAGTCCTCTGGTTTTAGGATTTCACACAAAGCTTCAATTGAGACTTGTAGCCATTGACTGCAAGTGGGATCCTAAAGCTGCCTGGGGGAGGATCTGCTCTTGAGCTTCAAGGGGTTGGAGGAGGATTCAGTTCTTTAGGTGCTGGAGGACCAAGGGTCTCGGTTCTTTGATGGCTGTCTAAAGATTCTCTTTCAGTCCTTTGCCACTTGGACCTTACCACAAGGCAGCTCACAACCTGACAGGGGGCTCCCATCAGATTGTGAATGGAAGAAAGGGTGAGAAAGAGGAGCCAGAATCTTTTTATAACCAAATCTCAGGAATTATATCTTAATATTTTGAGGCTTGTGGAACATTCATTCTAGTTTTCATTTGCATTTCTATTATGATAATGCTGTTGAGGGTTTTTTAAAAATTACTTGTAGCCATTTATATTAAATACTTGCTTACATGTTTTTTCCCAGTACAGAGTTGAATTCAGGGCCTGTCCCTTTCTAAGCTGATCTCTCTTCTAGTTGAACCATGCCTTTAGCCCTGATTTTTTGCTAGTTATTTTTGAAATAAGGTCTCTTAAATTATTCTGCCTTGGCTAACTTCAAACTGCAATCCTTTTTACCTGGGATAGGCAGTAAGAGCCACCAGAGTGCCCTGCTCTGCTTAAGTTTTCTTGCAGTTTGTGGGTCTTGAGCACAGGGCCTGGGAACTATCTCCTAGCTTTTTCACTTAAGTCTAGTGCTCTACCACTTTGAGCCACAGCTCCACTTCCAGTTTCCTGGTAGTTAATTGGAGATAAGAGGCTTACAGTCTTTCCTGTCTGGGTTGGCTTCGAACTGTAGGAATTTACTGTCTTGCAGTTTTTGACTTAGAGATTTGGTAGAGGCTTCACTGATCCAAAACCTTGCAGTCAACTAATAGACTCTTTCTGGAATATTTAGTGAAGAATGTATTCTCTGCCTATTTGTGTTGTTAGTAGAAGTGAGTACCTTGCATTGTGGGGTCTGCTTCCTTGTGTTCTTGAGGTGTGGAATCTGAAGGTGGTTCCTGGCTTTAGAGGTCACCACATACCTTGGTTCTTGATTGTATCTGCCATGTTAAAAGCTACCCTGTTGCCAGAGGAGGATTCCTTCTTCTGTTGTACCTATCTAGACCTACTTGTTGGATCTCTGTTGTCACATTTGTGATTAGATTGGGCCACTCAGCTCATACAGGGTCATCTTCCTATCTCAAAGTATTTCATCTTAAACTCACCTACAAATTGCCTTTGCCACAGAAGTTTATATATTCATAGGTTCTGTGGTTAGTAAATAGACTATTTCATTGTTGCTGGTTATGAGGCCTGAACTTTTGGCCTGGGCACTATCCCTCAGCTCTCTAGCTCAAGGTTAGCGCTCTACCACTTGAATCACTGCCACACTTCTGGTTTTCTGGTGGTTTATTGGAGGTAAGAGTCTCATGGACTTTCCTGCCCAGACTGGCTTTGAACCATGATCCTCAGATCTCAGCCTCCTGAGTAGCTAGGATTACAGGCATGAGCCACTGGTTCCCTGCACAAATAGACATTTAAAGAGGAACATTCTGGGCTGGAAGGGTGGCTCAGTGGTAGAATGCTTGCCTTGCATGTATGAGGCGCTGGGTTCGATTCCTCAGCATCACATAAGCAGGAAAAGCTGGAAGTGGTGCTGTGGCTCAAATGGTAGAACACTTGCCATGGAATGAAGAGGCTCAGGGACAGGGTCTAGGCCCAGAGTTCAGGCCCCAAGACCGCCAAAAAAAAAAGAAAAAAAGAGTAACATTCTTTCTGCCACTAAAATATTTGTTCAAACTCTATGGGTCTTTATTTCCTTTCTTTAACAGTGCTTGCTCAAGTATTTTTACTTTTATGTTTCAAAGGGATCATAATTAAGGCATTGAATTCAGGAAGATATTGCCTAAACTAAGATGATAGATACAATTCTTGGTTTGCTTCTAGAAATTTTGTAATTTTAGATATTTAATGGATTTATTATCTGTTTTAGGTTAGTAATTATATATGGTGCTAGGTTAAGGATCTCATAATTTAGTTATGTATTAATTGACTTATTAATTTTATGTGGATATTCAATTAGCCTGACACAATATGCTCACAAGTATCGTCTTTCTTTTACTGATTTGATTTCCACCTGTATTGAAGATCCATCGGCCATTAAAAGAATAATTTGAAGAATAATTATTAGACAAATTGGAGGAATTTACTGATAACTCCTAAATTTTCTCCCACTGATAATGTATGCTTACCTTTCTGTCAATATGACACTGTATTCTTTTCTAATATTTTAAAGGTTTCTATGTCTATTAAAAAAGGAGTTAACACTATGTTGAATTAAAATATTAAGTAAAAAATGGTTTTCCATAATCTATTTGACACATTAATATTTCATTGCTCATTAAATTCTTCTTAGCTATGTAATAGAAAGGAGAATTTGAATTTTATGCTTGAATTAGGAGAATTAGATTGCTTTGAATCTGTTAAATGCTATCTTATAGAAATAAGGTAAAAGATATTCAAAATGTTGGTAACGTTCCATTAAATATCTTGATGCAAGTACCACTTGCAAAGCTCTGTTCTTTCTTTTTCCTTCCAGATAAACCTCTGGAATCACGCAGCATCTTGAACAAGACAGTTCCCAGCTTGCCCAACACTGACACCATTTTCACTGAGGCCTTGGCCAAGATGCGGAAGCAGTACCCTGGTGTTCTTGCTCCAGAGACATGTGTCCGTGTAGTTCAAGCCTCTGTGAAATATCCCTACGAAATGGGTATCAAGGAGGAGGAGAAGCTGTTTTGGTACCTTCTACAATCAGAGCAGGCCAAAGCCCTGCAGTATGCTTTCTTTGCAGAAGGGATTACAAACCTGGTCAAGTCCCTCTGGGGCATCCTGGAAAACAGTTTCAGGGAGACCCATTTCTTCAGCTGGCGTTTTTGGTAAGTGACTGGGTACGTTCATGAGACTCACCACATTTTACATGTGGGTGCTACCACTTACTTAAGGCTGCCTGATGTAAAATTCACCATATTTTCATCTGCCAATCCAAGTGCATTGAACATAAGCTGTGTCAGTTCTCTTAAATCTCATACCTTACCATAAACTCTATTCCTTTTACGTGGGAGGGCTAGAGACACTAACCTTTTCAACAATGAGCTAACCTTTAGTGGTGTGAGGGACAGTCACAAGGTGCATATGACTCCTCCTAGACTGTTTTTACTCTTTCTTGCCACTTGCCTGCATGAGTCTCCCACTCTAGTATTTTCTAACAGGGATTGTTATTTGGACCACATTTCAAAACGTAGCTTGTCATTCTTGTAGCTAGGTAGAAATGAATTCTTTTGTGTTTTTTGATGATATCCATGCATGTCTTCCAGGTCTAGACCACTATGATTATTTGATGCAGCCTTCTGCTACTCCTATGCACCCTTAAAAATGCTTTAAAATCACTTTGTTTACCTTCAGTAATTTTTAAGTGCACATTACCATAGAAGCCTCTATTCAGTGGTGATTTTTGAGTTCTTAGTACCATTGAGCCATTCTTTCCTTCATTCCTAATCCATAGGTTTGGGAACAATTGGCCCAGGCATTGCCATTTCCTTTGCAATGGCCAGGATCCCTGTGATTGCTGTAGAAGCAGACCAAAAGCAACTAGAGGCTGCAAAGAAGGCAATAGCTTCCATCTTGGAAAAGGAAGCATCCAAAAGGAAACAAAGTGGTAAAGCTTGGTCAGCACCAAAACTCACCTTCACTTCCTCTATAAAGGAGCTGGCTGGTGTGGATTTAGTCGTGGAGGCAGTATTTGAGGACATGAACCTAAAGAAGCAGGTCTTTGCTGAACTGTCAGCTGTGTGCAAGCCTGAAGCATTTCTGTGCACCAATACTTCAGTCCTGGATGTGGATGAGATTGCTTCTGCCACAGATCGTCCACAGTTGGTGATTGGCACCCACTTCTCACCAGCTCATATTATGAGGTTGTTGGAGGTTATTCCCAGTCGCTACTCTTCCCCCACTACTATTGCCACTGTTATGGATCTATCAAAGAAGATTAAGAAGATTGGGGTAGTTGTAGGCAACTGTCATGGTTTTGTTGGAAACAGAATGTTGGCTCCATACTACAGCCAGACATATTTCTTGTTAGAAGAAGGACATAGATGGGGTGCTGGAAGGGTTTGGTTTTAAAATGGGGCCCTTCAGAGTGTCTGACCTTGCGGGGTTGGATGTGGGCTGGAAAGTTCGCAAAGGGCAAGGGCTCACTGGACCTGCATTGCCTCCAGGGACCCCTGCCCGCAAGAGGGGCAATGCAAGATACTGCCCAATTGCTGATATGCTGTGTGAATCAGGAAGATTTGGCCAGAAGACAGGCAAGGGCTGGTATCTCTATGACAAGCCACTAGGTGGGATTCGCAAACCTGATCCCTGGCTTTCCAAGTTTCTGTCTCAGTACAGACAAACCTATCACATTGAGCCACGTGTGATTAGGCAGGACGAGATCCTTGAGCGCTGCTTGTATGTGCTGATCAATGAAGCCTTCCGGATCTTGGGAGAAGGCATGGCTGCCAGCTCAGAGCACATCGATGTTATCTACTTGCATGGGTATGGGTGGCCAAGGCACTGGGGTGGACCCATGTACTATGCTTCCACGGTGGGACTGCCCACAGTTCTAGAGAAGTTGCAGAAGTATCACAGGCAGAACCCTGATATTCCCCAGCTGGAGCCCAGCGACTACCTAAGAAAGCTGGCTGCCCAGGGAAACCCTCCTCTGAAAGAATGGCAAAGCTTAGCAGGGCCTCCCAGCAGCAAACTGTGATTGAGCCAGTGGTTTGCACTCATATGCTGGCTTCCAGGAAAACTCAGTTTCACTGAGATGAAATCTCAGGATCCAATGTAAGAATGCTCTGAAATACAAAGACAAACAGAAGTACTAATAATAATTTAGATTAGCCTCTGGTGGTGCACACCTTTAATCCTAGCTACTCAGGAGACTGATATCTGAGGATCAAGGTTCCAAGCCAACCTGGGCAGGAAAGTTCCCGTGAGACTCTTATCTCCAATTAACCACTCAAAAAGCAGAAGTGGAGCTGAAGCTAAGTGGTAGAGTGCCAGCCTTGAGCAGAAGAGCTCAGGAACAGTGCCCATGCCCTGAGTTCAAGCCCCTCAGACAACAAAAATTAAATAATTCCTTCCTTCCTTCCTTCCTTCCTTCCTTCCTTCCTTCCTTCCTTCCTTCCTTCCTTCCTTCCTTCCTTCCTTCCTTCCTTCCTTCCTTCCTTCCTTCCTTCCTTCCCTCCTGTTCCTATTGCTCTACTCTGTTCTCCTCTCTTCTCCCTTCCTTCTCTTCTCTTGAAAACATTAATCCAGAGCTGGGAATGTGGCTTCATGCCTAGCATGCATGAAGCTCTGGGTTCGATTCCTCAGTACCACATAAGCAGAAAATGCCAGAAGTGGTACTGTGGCACAAGTGATTGAGAGCTAGCCTTGAGCAAAAGCAGCTCAGGACAGTACCCAGGCCCTCAGTTCATTCCCCAGGACTGGACAAAAAGAAAAAAAAAATTATTCTAGTTAGAAAGATCACCCCTTGTATGGATATTTATAGGGAATTTCCAGAATATACAAAATTTAGGTTTGTGTTTGTCTAAATCAAAATTCCTACAGGTTACAGTGAGGAATAACTGATAATAAGTGCAGATTGTATTTTATATTGATTAAAGTATTATAATGGTTTTATAATACTATGATTATAAATCCTATGATTGAGATGTGTATTTTAAAAGTGTATTGTATTGTGAATTATGTATCTCAATAAAGTTGATAAGTGACTGGGGCAAAGTTGACATCTTTCAGCATGTTTTAAAAGATCTGTGTTCACTCCATTTTCACTTGCCAGTCTAAGCAAGATCATCAAAATTTGTCCTGGAGAAATCTTTTTTTTTTTTTTCTGCTAGTCAGGGGCTTGAACTCAGGGCCTGAGCTCTTCAGCTCAAGGCTAGCACTCTACCACTTGAGCCATAGCTCCACTTCCTTCTTTTTCTGTTTTTGTGATACTGAGAAATGGAATTCAGGGCTTCATGCATGCTAGGCAAACAAGAGTGTTTGCCTAAGCCACTAAGCCATATTCCCAGCCCCTGGAGAAATATTGAATGAATGTAATAAAAATTTTCTATTTAACTCCCCTCCCCCAAAAGAAAGGCCAGTGCTGGTGGCTCGTACTTGTAATCCTAGCTACTTAAAAGGCTGAGATCTGAAAAACACAGCTTGAAGCCAGCCTGGACAAACAAGCCAACCTGGACAGGAAAGTCTGTGAGACTCTTGATTTCCAGTTACAAAAAAAAGCCAGAAGTGGAGCTGTGGCTCAAGTGGTAAAGTGCTAGCCTTGAGAGAAAAAAAAAAAAAAGACCTCAGAGACAGAATCCAGGCCCTGAGTTCAAGCTCCAAGACTGGCACCAAAAACAACAAAATTTGTTGTCAGTGTGGAATTGTTGTTGTTGTTGTTTTTGTGGGGGTTTTTTGTCTTTTCTTTTTTGGCAATGGGGATCGAACCAGGAATGTTGCATTTGCTAGGCAAACATTTTGCCACTGAGCAACATCTCAGCGCTGCTGTATTCTTTTGAAATTCATATAATTTGTTTTTTTTTAATTAAAGAGATTGCAGATGCTATAACAACTGACTACAAATTAACTTATTTTAGATTTCAGTTTTTTAAAAAGATGACATTAACTTTTCTTTAACTTTAAATGAATTTTATTTTGCATTCTTAAAACTTTTTTGTTATGCCAGGCACCAGTGACTCACATCTGTAAGCCTAGCAACTCAGGAGGCTGAATAGAAAATGCCAGCCTGAGCAGAAAAGGCCCTAAGATTCTTACCTCCAATTAACCACCTAATAGCTGGAAGTAGAGCTGTGGCTCAAGTAGTAGAGAGCTAGCCTTGAACAAAAATCCCAGGGACAGCACCCAGGCCCCAAGTTCAAGCCCCATATCTGACACACACAAAAAACAAAAACCTTATTTTTATTCTAAACTTCTCTTTATTTCTAAGTTTTAAAATTAAACGACTATGAGTAGATTTAGACCCCTGAATTTTTTTGATAGTTTGTATATATTCACATGCATTTCTTAGAAGTGCAGTTCTTGCTTTGTACCATATCCTCAAACATGTATAACCCAATCACAGTTGAACACCAATACTATACATTGAAAGTAAGAAGAAATTAGTTCACAGTATTTTGTATCAAAAAAGGCAGAACAAATTCTAAATTGTTTTCTATCAATAATATTAAACATGATGGCATTTTTCAAGATATCTTGCCCTGTTCTTGAAAATATACTTGCTTGAAAAGCTGGGTTTTGTTGGTAATTTTTAACCTACTCATGTCTAAGAAAAAGAAAGCATTCTAACAGACATTTTTATAACTGTGTTCTCATGGTAATTGTCTCAAAGAGACATATGTTTCAAATACCCTTGAAGCTTTGCCATAGGGCTCCAGCTTGAAAGCCAGATCCATTGATGTCTTGCAGTCAGTAAAGCCACTTGGGTTGCACTCATCGCTGTCCATTTGTCTCCAGCAGGACCAGCTGTGCACAAGAGATAAAGTGAAGGGTCCTTAACTCCCCTGATTAGTGATGTTGCAGAACTGTCTGTGCAAATTATGTTCTGCCAATCTGTATACACCTGGAATCTCCACACTTGTCTTTTAAAAGGCCCAGAAAGATGAGCATGGTGACTCATGTCTGTAATCTTAGCACTTGAAAGACTGATGGAGAGAGAATGGAAATTCAAGGTCATCCTGGGTTACAGAGTGAATTACAGGCCAGCCTGAACTTTATAGCAAGACCATGTTTCAAACAAAAACCAGGAAAACCCTTATGAACTAGAAATGTTGGGGCTCACTCATATTCTCTGAATCCTTTAGGTAGCCATTGATGATATTAAATCCAGCTTTCTTAACTCTATAAACAACTTTCTTTTTTATTTTTGCACTATTATCAGGGTTTGAACTCTGGGCCTGAGTGTCCCACTTTTTTTTTTTTTTTAGTTTAGTTCTTTGCTCAAGACTGGTACTCTACCAATTGGGTCACAGCTCAACTTTCAAATGTTTTGTTGGTTGGTTGGTTGGTTGGTGATTAACTGGAGATAAGAGACTCTTGGACTTTCCTGCCTGGACTGGCACAGAACCTCAACCCTCAGATCTCAGCTTCCTGAGTAGCTAAGATTATAGGTATAAGCTTCCATCCTGTAGTTCATTTAAAATCTCTCTGGGAGTTAGTAGAGCACTAGACAATGAATGAAAGCAGAAGGAATCAAGTTTGAGTCCCTGGTGTCTTTTGCTTGGATGGGCATCAGGGAAACCTCTGGGCCTTGCTCAGTGCTTTGAGAATCTGGTGTCACAATCTGTGCCAGGGAACTGTCATGGGTCACATGTACTTCTCCCACCTGCCTCTTCACTCTTCACAGAGCTTTCTTCAGCCTCCTTGAGGGCTGGCAAGACAGACACATGGAGCCTCTCCTGTCTACCTTCCACATGGAGCCTCTCCTGTCTACCTTCCACATGGAGCCTCTCCTGTCTACCTTCCACGTGGAGCCTCTCCTGTCTACCTTCCACGTGGAGCCTCTCCTGTCTACCTTCCACGTGGAGCCTCTCCTGTCTACCTTCCACGTGGAGCCTCTCCTGTCTACCTTCCACGTGGAGCCTCTCCTGTCTACCTTCCACGTGGAGCCTCTCCTGTCTACCTTCCACGTGGAGCCTCTCCTGTCTACCTTCCACTCACAAGCATCTCTTTCAGCTGCTCCACCCTACTCTGGTGTGCAGGGTGACAGCTTACTTCCCATTTTTGGCTGTTCTTGCTTCAAATGCTCCCAGAGCTTTAGTATGGCCACCTTTGCACCTAGCAGCTCCTCTTTTTTCCTGGTTTTAATTCTGCATCTGCTTCACCATACCTTCAATTTCTCTCTGCACTGCTGGCAGGTGGCCACTTGGTCCAGTGACATATGTCCAGGGAAGAACTCAGCTGAGTAATGATTGATAATCTGTTTCAAATTTATTTACTCATCACATTAGTTAGTCTGTTTTAGGACTACCTCAGATTGGGGGCATCCCTGGGATGGCACCCACACCTGGACCCATGCTGGTCAAGTTCTAGAGTCCCCAGGGCCCCATGTCACTGCTGCAGGTGCAGTACCATGAAAGCCAGCCCAAAGACCACTGGGGGACCAAGCCGAGACCCAAGGCTGCCCAGGCCAGGCCTGGAGGGAAGGTGGCACTGACAGCTCTCACCTGCCTTCTTCTTCAGCTGCTACCATGCACATCCAGACTCATCTCTACAATACAACTTTCTATGACTGGAGTGTGGCTTAAGTGATAGAGCACCTGCCTACCCAGCCATGCCCTGAGATCAAACCCCAGTACTGCTTCTCTCCCCTCAAATAGAAAAAGAAACAGCTTTCTGCATAAAAATCACAGTTGTCTCCATTGCTAGTGCTATGTGCTTCTCTCACTAGTTTATGCATATTTTAATGGGCAAGTCACATGACTTCCAGGCAGGATAGCAATATTGCACATTCCAGGGGATGGCATTCATAATGTACAATATGTTTCTCTCTCTCAATCTGTGTGTGTGTGTGTGCTTGTGCACCAGTACTGGGTCTTAAACTTGGCTTTGTGCTCTTACTTAGCGTTTTCACTGAAGGCTAGCATTCTACCACTTAAGCCATACCTTCACTTCTGGCTTTTTTTTCTGGTTAATTGGTGATACAAGTGACAAACTTTGCTGCCTGAGTTGGCTTCAAACCATGATCTTCAGATCTCAGTCTCTTGAGGAAGAGAAATGAGCTATCAGCATCTGG